CATGGAGCACCTTGCTTTCCTGTTCAAGAAACATCCCAATCTGCTGATCGTGACTCCGACGGTGCCGGAGGCCGGCTGGAAGATACATCCCGGCGACCAGGCGTACGGGTTCAGTGATGGAAATGCGACGATCCGGAATATGATGTATATCTGGCTGGCGAACGCAACGGGATGCCCTGCTGTCAGCGCGCCTGTGGGCTATGTGGACGCCGAGGTGGGCGAGGGCAAGCTTCCCGTCGGTCTGATGGCGATGGGCGAGTGGGGCGCCGAGGAGCAGCTCCTGGCTTGGGCGAAGGATGCTGAGACGTATCTAAATACGGTTCAAGAGGGTGGTCGCTTTAGACCGAAGGACTGGGCCGATGTCGTTGAAATCGCTAAGAGTGCTAAGTAGAGATAGAGTTCGAGTATGATCAAAGATGTTTTTGGGCGGCAGACGCCTATATGGAGGGATGCATGGCGATAGGCCTACATTGTAAGAAGGCATAGCGTTACATGTACACTTAGATTATTAGAATACATTAGATACGTCTTAGTATCGAAAAGGGCTTGAGTTCGAGTGCTTCCCTTCTAGGTCAATTGATATGATATCTATGGGGTAGGTATTCGAATTACAGCGCAGAATCATCAGCCTCTTTTCGCTTTCAATCACCTAGACTGCAGCCGCAGATCAAGTGGAACTTATCCCATAGTAGGGCATAGAGCATGATTTCCTTCGAAGGGCCCCACCAAGCCCTGTTCATGCATACTCGTATTCAAGCAGACAGACTGCTCGCTATCGGCCCGGACACTGTCTTCCAACCACTCCGAAGATGCATGGCGATTAGGTTATATTTTTACGATCTCATCACGAAATATACAGGTAAGCTCTTAGGGACGGACGTAATAGATGACCTGAGGAGGAAAAAAAGGAGCCCGACAAGGTACACGCGTACGGTTCTAAACCACCTCCTAACAGGTACCTGTCAATGTCAAACATTATAACCCCAATCGGGTTATAGGGTTGTTCCATTCAGTGAAGTTAAAACAAGAGTCGCTACATGTGGGTCCCTTACACGTACGCCTCTTGTGTTAGCAAATTCCTCACCTTATCCCAACGAGGAGACGTAAGCAGTAGAACGAGCTATTCTCGTGCTTTATGTTAGAGCGTTGTCGTCTTCAATTAGGACAGGGAGATATTCCATTGCCACAAGCACTATGAGAGGAAGGTGTCACTCAAGTTCTCTTTCGCCTCTGCACCCCAGAATTAGGTGCACAGAATACCACCAGATGAATAGCACACGTCTCAAATCTCTTTTACAAAAGTTCCTTCAACTTAGTCCACTGCGAAAGTGTGTTATCTCGTAAGATAAAAAAAAATAGATACCTGCGTATCCCCTTCGTAAATCATACTTAAGTAGGTAGTTAACGTTCAGAATATACTGCATTGTATTAGAGTGGTGAGTCCGTGGCATCTTGGCGACAAGAAGGCGCACGCGTCCCCTTGATAGACATGATCCAGATCGTTACAGGGCTCGCACTTGCTCGAATCAATGTGGGTTTCGCCGACGAAAACGAGACAACGACCCACATGGAACGCGACGACTCAAGAATGCGATGTCACGCTGCGTAACAAGTACTGCTCGATTAAATCTGTCCACGAGGTTTTCGGAAGCACACCATGGCAACCTCAAACGAGACTCGGCCATATGCGATTCTATCTCTTTCCAATTATAAGTGCAGGGTTATCTCCGAGACTCGAATACTCGATTACCCAAGGTGGAAATCTGTTACCCGGCTGCATACAATTCATGTGGGCTTCTTATCTGCTTTCTTGCAGATCATCGAAACCTATATGCAGGTCAATTTAAGTGCGTGCTAACTGTTATGTAGTCACATCACTTTTCAGGGGTTCTTGTCTAGCAAGAGTTGCAATGCCGCGGCGCGATACATCAGGGTATAAGTCAGAGAGACTTCTTATTCGTTAACCTCACTATAGTCTGCTATAGATCCGAAAGATTCCTACCTACATTGCTGAAGGCCCTATGAAGCTGTGAGGCTGGTAGATGAGATTTCCAACGACCTGCACTTCTTCGGTTTGAGACGTCAGCGTAAAGTATTGATATTAGTCGTTCTATTCTCTGTCTAATATTCTAGTATACATGTATCCAATAAAGCTCATGCTCTAGAGCACATGTGTATAGCCGGTGAAAGATACGGCGCTTTCAATTAGTAATGGGACCGTGCTACCCCCACGTACATCTTCATATGAAAGAACTGACACGGCAGTTCGGAAGCGGCTCTTGAAGCTCTCACAGGAATCTAATCTACAAGCAGCTAGTGGCCCGTCTATCTTGTTAGATCTCTTGAAATAGATGGCTTAACTTTTACTTAAATCAAACTTCTCGACGATCATTTCATCGGATCGTGAAAACCGGGTTCAGGGGCCCTAGTGCCGAATTGGCCCTATTTATCCTTGTTATTCCGCGCCCAGTAAGTTGACAAAATGGTCCTCCAAGAAGAAGCTCTAAGTTGTAGTAAGCATCGTCATCGGACCGGTCGATTTCGCCTCAAGCTAACCTAGAGCTTCTCGGCGTCGACGGTCTCGATTCTACAGCTAAAATTCGCGACTTGACTTCAGAATGGGGCGAATTGAAGGTATCATACCTGTCTTCCATAGAGATCATGCCCTGGAACTCGCTTCTTGCTCTAGTGTGGGGTTGAGTTTCATCATCTCGAGCTCTCCGTAGACAACTCCAATACTGCCGGCAGGGTTCCAGTACATCCATTGGTCGCATAAACTCTCCTCGCTTCGGATCTTCCATTCACATCGAGATTTACTAGCCCCGTGGATCCAAGCCGTTGTACCCCCACGCCGATCTAAGAGGAAATCTCAGCATGGATTATCTCGGTAACATACCCGAACAGGGTTGTAACGGTGACAGCATCGGCGACTTAGCTTGTTAGGTCGACGGCAGTGAAGTCGTCACCTACATCAATGAATGGCTCGCTCGGATCCCTGGGTAGCGAGCCTATTTCCCCAGGTACTCGGGCGTTTAACATTCGTATTTTCTATTGTTGAGTCTATTTCGACCACCTTCAATGTCTCAATCACTTCTTGCCGAGTCGACATGGTGGTTCAACTCCTCCATGAGGTAGTTGGCACTGCTGTCGTAGTTCTTTTATACTCGTTCCTGTGTCTGACAGCTAGTTCTATTATGATATGGCTAGTCTGGACACATCATGAGAGGGATAGCTGTACGTTGGAAGTTACTAAAACGCTACCCCTGCTGTCCTAAAACTAATTCACCACCATTTTCAGATGTCGCATTACTCTCTTACTCCACGCTTTTAGGTACGGTTGCGAGTATCATTCAGCAGTTCCACACATTCATCTGGTGGAGAGACGTCAAAATTGAGCAGTATGAATACATCGCGAAACACCTTGGCAGCCCGGAGATAGCCATCGCGGGGCCATCGGTTGGTCTGGATCTTGTTCTGTTCTATATACGCAAGTCTCAAAAACCCTAGGCTGCCATTCATTCGTAACTGACTATTGTATTAGAATACTACACCTATAATGTAGAAGCAATGCTTACCCTATTCTGGGCAATTGCACTCACGCATACCGTATTCAAGCTCATTGACTTGACAAACTTCAGACATATTGGACATCGAACCAACAAGGTGGCAAAGGCTGTGGGCGTAATTTTGCCCGCCATCCTCATGTCCCTTCTGCGTTTGAGCGCCGTCCAGAGTTCGCATGCAGGTTTCTTGGTGCTGGCCAACTTCAACAGTATGCGCCATCATAGTCGTCGTTAAGCGGTCAGCGGATAACATGAGATTAGTAATGATTAGCCTCACGTTCGGTAGTATACTGTTGATAGCCATCCTCATCAAGTATATCTACACCCGACACCGACTCGTTTCATGGAACGCCCGCTATTTGTTCTCTAGAAGATCACAAGAGACAGATGGAGAGATTCTCAATGTTCTGGATCGAGGCGATGGTCGTCAAAGCATCTATGATCGCTGGCTCGTGTTGCGCTTTTCAATCGCCTTCGTCGTATTGGCCGTCTTCCAGTTGATCACTATACTGTTGGAAATATCACAGCTATCCCACCACACCAAAGAAAAAATAGGCGAAGCTCCGAATTTATCGGCAGAGAAGGCTAAAAATGACTTCTTACTCTTTTTGCCAGGTGTTTCGACAAGCTTGCTGGTAAGTTAACCCCGAAGATTATCGTTGTTGGCCTACTGGTCAATTTCGATAAGTGCCGAAAAGTTAATAGGTGATCATAACTGACTTGCGTACCGTAGGTTTTCATCGTTTTCGGAACCACGCGCACATGTCGGAAAACGATGTACAAGACATTCATCCCCAGGAGATTTCAGAAGAAACCGGCAGTTGTAGAACCCGGTACAGTTACCATCCCTCTCGAGCGTGTTCGTGAAGATGAAGGGTGGGGTCAAGAAGACACTCAGGGTGCATCTGATGAGGGTCCATCGGACATAGGATCGAAGAATGTAAGCGAAACAACAAAAACCACTGCCGAAACGAGCGAACAACGTTCAACCCATTTGATTGTATCAACAGAACCCGAGCGCGAGGCCAAAGGTGGAACCGAAAAAGTCATATAGCCCTTTCGCATCTGTAAATGTATAAAAATAAGGAACGTCATTATAGGAATCGCATGGATTGACTGTATTATTGGGCGTCAACTTGGGGGACTCGTAACACATGGGAAACGGAATATGGAAGGGTACCCTAGGTACATGTTAATGCTGATTGGCGCTGTCTGGATCTAGATAATTGATGATACCCGCTTCGTTTTTACTATTTATGGTCTAACATCTCCTTCAAGTTTCCTACAGCGACATTTCTTAGATCTAGTCAGGAGTTTCTCGGAGGCCAGGCCACGAGGAGTGGGAGCTTATTAATATTACTAATCGTCATGGTTCCACCTTAAAAAAAATCGCCGCGAAGAATACAAGCAAGAAATTGTCTAAACAAAAAAGATTGTTGAGAGCTGCAGGATTCGAACCTGCGCGGTTTCCCAGCACGGGTGAGTAAACCCAAGAGACCTTGAGGATCCTAAACGTGCCGCCTTAACCACTCGGCCAAACTCCCATTAATCGCACTGTGAATGTGGTGTGGATGGTTTTTTGCTCGTCTAAAATCGGTCAAATGTTTGTGAGTGGGGGACGGGCTGGAAATAGCTACATATGAGGTAGAGATAGCTGACCCACGCTAAACAAACTATTAGGACATAGACAAAGCCAACCATTTAAGTTACGTAACCGGTTTAAAACAGCTAATAAATGTGTGGTTGTTTAAATTTAATTAACGTTAAGTAGCACTTTTTTTATAAATTAATTAAAGAGTAATTTTATTATTATTATTTTACTTTATATATTTTATAAAATTTATAAATAAAAGATTTTTTTAATATAAACGTTATTAATAATAAAATATTAAATAACCTTTACTTTTAATTACTTTAAAAAATAAAAAAATATTAAGTTATTAATTAAATTAAATATGTTTAAATAAGGCTTTTTATAAATTAAATTAAATTAAATAAAGCTTTATATTTAAATTAATTTAAATTAAATTAATTATTTTACGATTTTAATTAATTTAATAATATTTATAACTTAATTTAAGCTTAATTAAAAAGCTTTATAAATGTTATAAAAGTCGAATCGATTTTTAAATTTTCGTGTTATTACTTATTATTAATTTCGTTATTACTTTAAATATTAATCGTTATAACTTAATTAAATAATATAAAACTTAAAAATAAAAATTTATTAATATATTATATAATTATAATTATATAAATAAAATAAATAAACGTAATTATATACGAATTATTAAAAGTAAATTTATTCGAATTAAATATTATTAGCTTTAAATATATTTTTAATTTTAAAAGCTTATAAAAATTATAACTTAATATTACGTATAAAAGTTTTAAAATAACCGAGATAATATTAAAGTTGTTAAGCTTTAAAATTAAAGGCTAATCGATAATATTAATATTATATTTAATACTTTATAAATTTATTAAATAAATTTAAATAACTTTAATAAAATTAACACTTACTTAAATTAATTATTAACCGATATTTTACTTAATTAAAACTTAAAATTTAACAATTTAATTAAGTCAAATCAAATTAATCGTTAATCAAATCAAATAACTCATTAATTTAAAGGAAGCCTTGTGTTTAAACGAAAGATTCTTCGTAATACAAACGGACTCTATGGTGGCATATCAGGTGACCTTCGGTCACATTATTATTTAACAGAAGGGGGTTGTGTATTCGGTCCCTCATCTATTGTAATGACCGCCTGATACATCCATTTGCAGGAACCTAAGTTTACTTCTCTTTCTTCGCTTTATTTCTTCATCTTTCCATTCCAATCGACCCCGAGGGAAATCAACCATATTGATGAATTCGATTCTTGGTGCCCCCCTTATTATCTTGCCTAGTGAATCGGGGGAAAATGTATCCGGGAGGCGTGGGAAGACACACCTAGCAAGGAATTTATGCCATGCGCTGTCCCATGCTTGAACCCTTGTCATGGTGTTGGATAAGTCCAAGATCTGCTTCATCCGTGCATACCTCTCGGACTTATAGGCTGCGAAAACATGCTGTAGCGTGGCTTGAGAGAGCTTTCTATCGAGGTTCAACGCAAGTTATTTCTCAAGTTTATTGCAAAGAACTACAACAGACTCAATCGCGGAATTGCCACCTAATCCGCTGTGAGGTGTAACCTACATACGTCTATTAGCCGCCCAAGGCAATCGTATATCAGCCACAAGGCGTAGCTTTATTTAGAGAAGTGGTAAAATACCTACCTTATGCACCGAATCCCCTGCAAGCACTATTCGACCCCAATGCCAGTGATCAAGCATCCCTTGCTCGATATTCACAACAACTGCTCGTTCACGTTTGCGCCATAAATCTCCGAAGAGTAGTGACTCAGTTACAGGATTGTCGGCAATACTGTGGGCTAGACGCTCAGCGTCCTCGGCCGTGTAGTGTTGCTGTCGTGGCCAGATGACGAGTGATTTGAGGCGGAAGTATACTCCCCAAAATGTTCGGTCAGGTTGAGTCATGGTAGAAAATGAATAGTGCTCGTTAAAAACCACAGTTGAGTCGTGCTGCCCAAGTTCTGGCGCTGCGGGTCCAGTCCCGGTGAGGCATTTCCAGTTGGCTTTTATGCCTGTTTCACTGTTAGTCTATGTTGCTCGTCGTCTTGTCATGTTTAACTGGGGTTACAGATATACGAATATCCCTCCCCACCTTAGATCAGGGACTCACTCCCTTCTCCATCAACTCACTTTCCACATAATGGGTGTAGGTACCTACGTCTCTTTTCCCTAACTGTGATACTGCCTGGGACAGTTTGGTTTGCATACTCCCACATTAGACTTCTCACCAGGCTGTGAACACCATCACAGCCAAGCAATATGTCGCCTACCTCAACATGGCCATCCCCTAGAGTAACCTCAATTCCATTTTGAAGGTGCCTCAAAGTTTTAACAGGATAACCCAGCTGGATTGGCGACTTATCGGGGAGATTATCGTATAGGATTTGTAGAAATTTTTGACGTTCGAAGAGTAGAAAATCTTTGCCGTGACTATTATACAGAATCACGTTAGGTAAATAACGACCCTATTTGATTTTTCTGAATATGTCTCCAGTTCGTACTTACTTTTCTCTCCAGCGCTTCGATAGACCGATATCAGATATGACCTTGCTATCTGGCAGCCGTACTATGGATCGATCAATAGGTACACATGCTGATTCGACTTCATTTAAGAAGCCTAGCTGGTGTAATATTCGCATTGAATTTGGATATACGGATAGAGTGAAACCTTTATTCGGCGCGACTTCTGTGTGCCGCTCGAAGATAATGTGGTTAATGCCTGCCTTCTGTAAGCAATGAGATGCTGTAAGACCTGCGATACCGGCACCAACGACGATGACCCTAAAGGGACGAGACGTCAAATGTTCAGAGCCCATGGTGCACATCGTATTTAACAAGGCATAGGAGCAGGTAATAACCATTCGAGAACTATTTCATTCGGATTTGGTTTTCCTATAAGTACGTCATGAATACCTTAAATACCAATGTCAGAGGCTATATGAAACAGGAAATCTCGGTGAGTCACCATGATGGTGGCATACACAATTAATTGAGTAACATTAGCTCAACGCAGATAGGCTACCTGATAAAAGTACTGGTCTCAGATTACGACGACATGGCTTGCATCAGAAGTGGATGATAGGATACTTGGATCTGCCGTCTGGTTTCCACCGGCTTAATCAAAACTGAAGGGTACAAAGGCTCTATGGACCTCATGCAAGAAATAAGCCACATACGTACAAAATACTTGAAGCTACTGCAGATGCTCATAAAGTCACTACATTTTAAGTCTAATAGATCTTAGTAGTATGGAAGGTACATACCTAGGTACCTATGTGTATAGAGCCTATTAAGTACCTTTCTAAGTGAAGCTTTTCTAACTTCATCATTACCTTCGTTGCCTTCGTTATTCTCGTTAACTTCATCACCTTCATCATTTTCATTATTTCATCATCTTCATTACCTTTATCACCTCGGTCAGTTTCATCACCTTTATCCTCTTCACTACCTTGTAATATTACCTAATACAATAACAAATCTCGATAATAACATTCTCATCGTAGACGACGACGTCGTCCTTACTCAACTCTTGCATAAATATAACCCAATACACAAAGAGACTGTCACGTGGCGCACCAGGTATATGAGAATAGAACGCGTTGTTCCGCGAGGAGCTGGAAACTATCTGGCTACGGCTAGGATATATATAGTGACTCTTTGTCCATGGTGAAACATGACAGAGTATTGGATGATATGCAAGCCGAAATGGATGAAGCATGAAAATAAACAGTTCCTAGACTTGGCTTATGGCGTCCCCGTATTGTGTCCGTCCTCCTATATGTGCATCTTCGACTTTTTAGCTAGGTTACCTATTAGCTACCTCTAGGTAGGCACCTACTTTTGGTATGTACCTAAACTTACTGGGCAAATGTCCTCTCTATTATGCGTACATTCTTAGAGCGGCTCATTATAATATGTTATCATGCATTTCTGTTCGATACAATTGACACCAATGCATACTTCTTTATGGCAAGAAAGATGTTTAACGATCCTATCCTAGTGCCAGGAGAAAAAAAAGAAAAAAAAGGGGGGGGAGAGGGGGCAAAGTGTTGGGCATCATTTCGGCTGTAGCGAGCAGCTCGACGCTGGTGATATTAAAAGCGGCACGTTTAAGTTGACGTTATAGGATAAGAATGAACCAGGTCTATTTATATGCTGTATTTATGTGACTCACCCGATTTCTTACGTTGAGATGTCTATGCCATTCTAGTCTCTAAAGTTAGACTGTTTACCAAATATCCGCCTAAGCCGTGAGTCCACTTCACTTCTGTTCTTTATTTTCGCCGTTGTCGCTAGCCCTTGGGTCTCCATTTAGTCGTATATTGGGAATGAAGAAACAACTCAACAGGCACAGGGCCATCATAGGCACCATCATAATAAATACGGCATGCACACCGTTGAGTTTCGCGTCCAAGATTGCTGACTCCCACATTTCTGAGCCAGGCTCACCTCTTTGCCAGGACCCTTCAATTACACGTGAACGAAGTGAGGAAGGGATAGCGTCTGACAAGCCTAATTTCATGAATTGAAATTGGACGGTAGTTGCTATTGCCAGGCCAAAAACCGATCCTAGCATGCGCATCATATTTCGTGTCGACGTAGCTACAGCACGATCCTCCGGCCTTGAGAGTGCTTGTAAAGCAACTAGAGCTGCAAAGGTCATTAGTACCTCAATTAAAGCATCACTGCCTCTTCATACGAAATGGGATCTCACCTGGCTGAAGATTACAACCGATACCAACCCCCTCAATGATCAACGATATCACATAGACGCTAACAGGGGTAGTTCGAGAAAAGAGGATTTTCAAGCCAGTTCCTAAGGTCCAGAGTGCCAGCCCACCAAATAACACAGGACCAGGTCTATAAAAGCTCAGTTAGTTGGGGATTAAGGAAACACATGGTAATT